CTGAATAGGGCCCAATATAGGGGCTGCTTTCTTTTTTACTCCCCCAATATAATATATATAACATATATATATATATATATAAAGAATCACCCATGGATCTTGTTAAAGTGTAAATTCTGATTCAGTATATCTGGCATGGAAAAGCAGATTCTCAGCAGGGGGTTGAACTGGAATGAACAGGTTGGAAACCCTGTTCAGAACTATTAACCTAGGCCTGGCAGGTTGCTCTTTCATTGGCACTAAATTGTGTCAGGCACTGTGGCCCTGCCAATCAGTTCTGAACTAGGTATCTGTAAGCAATGAATCTTCTTTGTTAAGAAAAAAAACTCTGAACCTTCCAAGGACTAAACAAAGACTGGCTCTGAAAAGACAATTTCTAGGTAGGCAGGGGTAGTCACGTCAGTATCACCGACTCAAACCCTTTCTTTTCCCCCTTCTTTTTTAGGACCTGACATTTAGGCCAGTCCCAGGTCCATTCAATTCCATCTCTTTCATATCCCTCCCTTGTGCATTTCTTCTCGTCACCCCTCACTGCTGTTGCTTTTATTTAAGCCCTCAACACTTCCTACCTGAACTATTAACCCATCTTTTTAGTCTCACCCCCTTCAACCCAGCCTCCACCCTGCAGCTGGAGCAGTCTTCTAAAAATTCAAATCTGATCATGTCATCTCCTTCTGAAAACTTTTCCCCTTTAATGGCTCCCTACTGCCCATTGGGTAAAGTTGAAACTACTTAGCATGGCACCCAGGGTTCTTCATAATTTGACTCCTGTCAAATCCTCACCCTCATTCTTGGTAGTACTCTGACTTCGCACCCAGTCACAATAAATTACTTTGCATGTTTCTGAATATGCTATGCTGGGCCTTTTCACATGACCTTACCTCTTCTTGGGACATCCATCACACACTATCTTCTCAATTATTGGCTTAACCAATTTCTACTCTTCCTGAAGGACTCCAACTCCCTCAGTCCAAGGCACAAATTTGACTCATGTCTATACCTTATGCCTAGTACAGCACTTGGAAAATAGTGCACACTCAATAGATGTTTGCTGAATGGATTAATGGACACTGCAAGTTATGTAGCTGTTTGCAAAACCATCTCTGAGGGCAGCTGGCAGAACTGATTGTTCACTTCCTGCATGGGAGGGAGATATCTCTTCAATTGCATTCTTATTGCAGTGTTGCAATTCCTTCTTTAACATGGGTGTCTTCTTAATTCAATAGTGAGCATCTCAAGGGCAGGGAACAT